GGAGAACAAGAAAACAAGCCTAATGCCCCCACAAAATCATTGGTTTTGCTCTGACATGGCCTTTTAGAAGTGAGATTTGGTGGTGTGGTAAATAGTTCCATAAAATCTTAGCTCCTGACTTTGACAGTGTGAAAAAAAAAAAAAAAAAAACAAATCTAATAGAGGTTATTTATGAAACATATTGAAGGAGGCCAGGAGAGAGACACATATTTCTCCTTTTTTTCTTACACTCTTTCCTAGGCATCTCCTTGGCCATGGGTTCCCTGTTGGGGGCTCCATTTTAGAAAAATCTGTAGAACTCCTTCAGGAAGGGAAAGGGCTAGAGGAGAAAAGAAGCCTGATGGCACAAGAGGAGAAGCGAAGAGAAATCAGTCCCTGGAAGGGGACAGGGGGTGTGGGAGACACTGCCTGCAGTGCCATTGGGGCCACTTTGTTAGGGGCTGACTTGGTGCCCATGGGACATACTGAGACAATGAAAGGCTACCAGCAGGCTAGGAGGTCCCTGACGCAGAGCAGTGTGGGCTGTGGAAACTTCTTCCTTTTACATTTATTTTCATTTTGTTTCCACACATTTCCATACTGAGAGCTGTCCAATCCTCATTCTTCCTCTAAAGAAAGTCCCACCAATTGAGCCATAATATTTTTATGCCCCTGAGATCCACTCACCCCACAGGTCAGGTTCTTCTCAACCTGAATGAATTTGACAATGGCTTTGCTTGCCCAAATCCCATGTAACTAGCCACTTGGAGAGGAAAAGTGGTGCTAAATGAACTTCACTTCTGTTGGCCAAGACATCAAGGAGCAGGAGACCTCAGCCTTTCCATCATCTCCTGTCCAGCACATGCAGGTTGGAGCAACAACCCCATGTAACTAAATCACCCAAAGGCCTGATATCCCCAGTGCTATTGCTGCTGTTTGAGGCTCCGTGTAGGCTGAAACACGAGCTGCACATGAGGGTTATGTGCTTTCCAGCAGGGTGTTGTGGCATAGAGAGCAGGGGGAAGGCTTCTCTGAATACCTGATTTTTACCTTGACAATTTCTCTTGACATTCTGCTATTTTAGAAGTACTTTTCCCCTCTTTACTTTCCTCTACGTTCTTCTTTTTTTTTTTTTTTTTTTTTTTTCCCATGGCAGTATTTTTCTCTTGATATGTTTTGTTGCTGTTAAGGACCTTGCATAATGTTTCCCTTTAAATGGTTTAATTTCAAAGTTTTCTCTTCAAACTTCCTAGTTGCTATGTGACTCTGCTATGTGGTTTCTAAGTCTTCTTTAGTGCCCTTTATCTCTTAGGCAGTTTCCCTTGAAAAGCTCTGCAGTGTTGATAGCATGAAAAATATCATCTGTATCTCTCTGTTCATAATGTAGAATTTCAATATATCTGTGAGAGAAGTGGATGCAGACCAAACAAGCATTTTGTAGGGAACAATAATGGTTATTTATTTATAGGATTCTTATTTTCTGAAATTCCCAAATAGCATGAAGAGAAACTTGGCCATGTTTTAAGAAAAGACTTCTTTTTTTTTTTTTTTTTTCTCATACATTCTAGTCATACCACAAGCTTTCCACAAAAAGAACATTTTATTTTTGTATTATATGCCCAGAACAGTTATTGCAGGACTGGACATTTCCAGGATTTGATGTGGAGAACATGTTGTCTGATTTTTTAAAGGTAGAGTGCTCACAGCTTTTCTTGGAGCCTTTGTGAGTGGCAGGTGTCCCAGGTCCCCATTAGGATGTTCATAGTTTGACTCACTTTCAGTGTTAAAATGTTTGAATACTTTTCTCCAGATCCTCAAAAACACATCATTTTAAACTGAAGTATTTGACTCCAGTAGCAATTTAAAATGCATGACACTGGGTTTAATCTGAAGCCCACCAAGAGCAATGAAATTCTTTCTGTTGATACTCTGACTATAACTGGATTTAAAAAGTGACCTACATCTTTTGCTCTGTGTCTCAGGCTCTCTTGCTCAGTTATCCATASGTGGTCTAATTTTACCATTGCAGAATGAAAACATGAATCTGTGAATAGCAGTGGGTCTAACTATTTAAATCTCTTTCTGGCCTCATTTCTGAACCTTGAACAAGACTTGCACTTCCCAGTTTTGTCAGCAGAGCGAGGCTGGTCAGTATTTTCTTTGGTGACCATTTTCATCTGCAGTTCATAGCAGGAGCTATGGTGAAACCAGCAAAAAGTGGCTGATACTCCTCATTTTCCTCATTGAGATGAGTTGGCTGGTTGGGTTGGCCAGCTGGCAGATGTGGGGTTTTTCATTTGGTTGGGATTTTTTTGTTTTTTTTTTGTTTGTTTATTTTTGTTTTTTTTTTTTTTAACTTGTCAATACAATTGTGCTTATACTGAGAGCCCTTTACAAACAGAGAAGCAATAGGACTGTGAGTGAGCCCTCAGGTCTTGGTTCAGTCACCCAAAGCCATAGTTGATAGGCTAAATTCCTCAGGAAGGGCAGAAGCTGTGTTTGAAAAAGGTATCAGACATTTTGTAACCTTTGTTCCTTTTTTCTCTAAGTCTGCATTGATATTTGTTGAGCAATCTTGCATTGGAGTAGTCACTCCAAGAGGAGAGTGGGATGTGGCTGTGAGGGTGGGATGTCGGGTAGGCCCCAGTGCACCAAGAGTGCGTGCTCTCTTGCCCATGCAGACCATCAATGAGGGCAACCAAATGGCACCTGAAATCAGTGGGACATCTTGTCCTTTGGAGATGCTTAAACTCTGGTTAAAATGAGCTTTATTACTACAGAGCTTTCAGTGTAGCTCTTGGCAGGCAGCACGTACTGTATGTGCAGTGTTGTGTCCTCCCCACTTTTGCCAGCCTTTAGATTGGAGTCACCATCTTCCTGGCTTGCAGTCAGTTGCAAGTGCAGCAAATTGTTTTAGTTTCTGGATGGGGTAGATTATAGGGTAGATGACCTGGCAGAACATACCTGGACTGCAAGTACTGTGAAATAGTGAATCAAAGCAGAAACAAGGTGCAGATCCTGAGAGCAGCAGTCAGTAGTCTTTGGTTCTGTTTCGTGCACCTAGGAAATGGTTGACATCAGCATAGTAGAGATTTTGTGATACAGCTGCCAGGGAAAAGGCACAATGATTTAGCCACCTAATGGATGTAGTAAAAGGATTGACGAGTCTACTGTTGGTTAGAATAAATGTGCTTTTTATTAYGCTTGGTTTGTCTTAATTATAATATTATTTCTTTTTTTTTTGTAATGAAAAGAGTACTGTGTTAAAGTGTCTCCTGAACCACATATTCTCATGCAGCAGTTGCTCTCAGGATAGTGATAATGTTCACAGAGAGAACTGCATGTGAAAACCAGAAGGTSAGCTATTCGCATCTTCTGAACATTTCAGATTGTGACTTTTGCTATTTTTCTGTAAGGATCAAGAGTCCTGCTACCCCTTGAGAGCTTGCACCTAGCTTACTTATACTGCTTAATATCAACATACTTGATCACATCAGAGTACCAAGATGTTTTCTGAACTACTGGTTTCGTCACCAAATGCCTGCTGTCATGAGTTGAGCTTTCGTGTATTAGGCCATTATATTTACTGCCTATACTTCACTGTCCCTGCATACTCTTAATTTGTTCTTATGTAACAGTAGAGAGTAATTTAGCTCCCTGGTAGTGTGTTTTAGTAAGAAAGCAAATTGTCAGTGTTTACTTATACTGTACAATTCGGTAATTGTACTGCACGCTGTGGGCAATTTCTTGAATAATATGAGCCTGAAAACAAGCTCTTAAATTCATATTTATGTTCCTAAGCAGACAGCCTAATTTTTTCAAATATTAAGTCTACCCTTACTCTTATTGACTTTTTGGGAGTCAGTGGTTATCAGTGTTTTGAAAATCAGGTCKTCTTCTTCTTCTTCCAGTGGAGGAAAGACCGACTTTATTCCAGACTCATTTTAATGCATATCTCTGTAGTTTTGCAATGCCTCTCTGACTTGCTGCATTGTAATAATTCCTAGCGGAGCTTTTCATGCCATCTAAATGATCAACTTGGATTGATTAAAATGTCCAGTACAAAAAGTTTCCAGCAAAGTTGCTGCTTTCATACGCTGATGAACAGAACAAGAATATTTCTGGCAGATCTTTGTGCTGTTTTCATAGAAGGGCTGACTATAAAAATCATCTTTCAGGCAATGTATGTTTCACTCCCGGAGCCTGACAACAAACCAGAGTGAACTGAGGTGCATCAGAAAGACTCATTTTGTCCTCGGCAATATTAGGARCGCTCAGTGCACTGTTAGTGAGGTTTGTCTCCTGTGTGTCAGTGCCGCARGGCTTCCCCGCTCTGAATAAGTTCAAGGAAAGTCTGATTCATTACTTCGGGGCCTGAGCTGAATTCTTTCCTCCTTTTAAAAGAAATTGCCTAAGCCCCAAATGCTGGCTACAGCAGTGTGAAGGAATGGCCATTTGCTTTGCGCCTTGCTGCTCATCCCCAAGAACAGAAGACTCTCCTTAATCTGTGGGCTCAGACGTGCAGCAGAAAGACTTTTTGACCCAAGATAAAACAATGACAAAAACATTCCTGTGCAAGCACAGCATGCAGGCATTTTGGGATGCTTCTGGAATATATTACTGGGGATAACTTACTCTTTCTTTAAAAATAAAATTCTGCCAATACTGTTAGGGGGAAAAAAAAAGTCTTGTGTGATGGGGAAAAGAGAAGAAATTATTCTTGGTAATATTTAAAAGTTTTTAAATTAAGGAGGCCCTGGAATGGCCCCAAATTTAACATAAACTCAGTCAGGAGGGTGGTCTGTCACAATTAAGAAGTGCCACTTCAAAAGTGTTCTCATTTGAACTTCTGAGATTTTTCATTTCTTTTATTTTGACACCCTCATGGGTCAATATGTGCTGCATTTTCAGTAATCAATATATACTACTTTGGTCAAATTAGGACTGCTCCTGAGRAAAAAAATTGGGTCTTCAAGCACTCTGTGGCTGATGCTGACTGCCTTTTTCCCTTCTGCTTGCAGAGGCACAGCAATAGCTGGAATTGTTTTCGGGATAGTGTTTATAATGGGAGTGATTGCTGGGATTGCCATCTGTATCTGCATGTGCATGAAGAACAACCGCGGGACTCGAGTCGGGGTCATCCGGACGACACACATCAATGCCATCAGCACATACCCAGGTAAGGAGGCGCAACGACACCCTTGCAAGAGGTCACRATTGGAGGGAGGCCGTGCAGAGTGTTGGCTTTGCAGCACGTCGGGCCAGCGTCCCCACCAAGACACTTGCCATGCAGTGGCTCCCCACCATGTGGAAGCAGCTGTGCTGCTGAAGAGCAAAGCAGCTCTTGTGCACTATATATACTTACAAGCAAGCTACCCAGTATTTAGTATGTACTCCATTGTCATAATCACTGTGCTTAGCATCTATTTTCTCCTTCATCCTCTTACTTTCCAGTTAAACTAAACCCAGCTATAATCACCCTTATTATTGCAATATTGTTTCACATAGAGAGATGAGTAATGAGAGAAAACTGCAATATTCTCAAACATGAATTGCTGAAGAGCTACTTTAGAAGCTAATAGTCACTGCAAGCTGTAAAAACAAGAACAAAACGAAGGCTCTGGGGCTCTAACCTTTTTCTCCCCAAGGCTTTTCCTGCACTGACGCACCACCTACCTATCCACCGCCAGGCAGTTAGACTCCATGTGCTGCCTATGCCCGGTGCAAATAGCTATTTGAGCAGTCCTGCCTCTCAGCAGCAGCAGCAGTTTTTGGAGGATGGGACAAGCTCTGAGATTATTTTCATGCTCTCCTCAGCATCAGCAGTCTTGGAGCAATGATTGGCCTGGCTCTCWAGTTTTGTGGTGTTTACAACCAACCCTCCCTTCCTGCCAGTGGCAGTTTGGGACAGGAATGGCAAGTGATGGGATGCCTTGACTTTGGGTCAGCCACTGTGGCAGCTAGGTTTCTGGAGAGGAAAGAGTGCTGGTCTTGCCACACAGAGACCCAGGCCCCCTCCCTCCATCTGAACTATCCCATACTTCTGTTTTCTGTCTTATTAAAATGCTCTTTTAGTGCCAGTCTGCTTGAGATCTCCAGGGAGGAGATAGGAAATCCCTCACAGTTATATGAACAGTGAAGAAACAGACTCTGGAGCTTCACAGAGACCACTGCAGTGGGGTCTTTGTGCAGAACCCTCARCCCTATCCTGCTCTGCACCTGGGATCCTTCTCCAAGATTAGCAGAAGCAATTGAGAAAAGACTTTCAGCTGTTTATGGGAGCTTTTCATTCTTTCCTAARTATCTGACCTGCTTTAAAACATGCGGCTCTCCCTGGATTTCTTTGCTGGTGAAAGCCCTTTTCTTATACAGTCTGAGTCCTAGGAATATCTTGGGAAGATGTCAGGRTTTTCTCCTGCTGTGTGTAATGCAGCAAGGAGCAGCAAGGAGCTTTGCACTGTGTTCAGCGTGTGGTTGTGCATCTCCTGGGGATCCACAGGCAGTGAGAGAAGCCCACAAAGGTCAGCGAAGGCCCTGGCTACAGAGTCACTCTGAGATAAATCCGTGTTGCTGCTGAAAGGGAGTAAAGCTGCTAAAACCCAGCTAAAATCCTCTCCTTAAAATATTAAGCTTTCTTCCGCATCACCCTGGTGTCATCTGCCATATGGCAACCTGAGCAGCGTTGCCAGCACAAAACGCAGATAGGGATGGGGATGAGCAGTGAAGGAAGGGGCAATAAGCAGGGGCTTGCCTTGTAGCTCAGTGACAGTATAATGATAGACTGRGAAGAAAAATAAGAGCATATTGCCAGGAGACTTCCATCTCCTGCATGGGAGTCTGATTTTAAACCTGAAAACACCTGAGGGCCTGTGCATGAAATAAAAAAGATTAATTTTTAACTAATTCTTCTTCCTTTCACCCCATGCCAGTGGCACCGCCACCGTACAGCTACGAGTACGAGATGGAGTACCCCGCAGACCTACCTCCTCCATACACTCCAACCCCACAGGCATCGATGCAGTACCTGCCACCTCCTCCCTACCCTGGCTACTCAGGGAAATAACGGAGCGGAGCCACATGGACCTTGATTGCCAGTTGAAGCAGCCAGCACCGTGGGATGGGAGTTTTCACTCAGGGACAAATGGATGAGAGCTACAGGGACAAAAGTGGCCAGGAACTGGCATAACCCAGGGAAATATTGTCCACTGCAGCTTGCCACACTATCAGGTTGAACAACGTATGGATAAAGAAAGAGTTGCCACAGTTTAGGGTAGCACTTAGCATCAGTGCTTGGCTTCAGCAGATCAGATCAGAGCATCTCTCTTCCCACGTCACAAGATGCTTTGAGGGGAWGGCTCTGGCCATCATCCTCAGTATCCGCACTCTGCCTGGCTGTGAGAAGAGGCAAACGAGAAAGACAGGAGCTGTTTCCAGCTTCCATTGCAGGATAGTACTAGCAGAGGATCAGCTGTGCATATGGACCTGATAAATATATTGCAAAGAGAAGTGCTCTTGGAGTTACTCAGTAGCCAAAAGTGACTGGTATTACTTTGGGCCAAATGCAGACTGCTTTAAGTGCCTACTTTTAAACAGGTTGAGGCTAATTTCTGGCTTAMAATGTAAATGTAAAGAGCATTTTTTTTATATGTGAGTTACACTAATTTATAACTGATTTATTTTTATCTGGACTTAAATACTATATACATTGGATATATATTACTTTATGGTCTTTTATCAGCAAATGATACTGTATTGATACTCTTTTTTAATACTGACTTAGGAAAACTCACAAGTAGGAGAAGAAATACAAATCAAGTATTAAAGCATCACAGATTTGACTTTCAATTAGATTATGACTAAACTACACAAAGACCCCCTTTTAAAAATTGAGTATTGTTTTGCAGTAATAATGACATTCAGCTTAACCAAAGAGATGAGCAGGGAGACTGTGAGCATCAGTTTTMTTTTGTGTGTTGTCTTGGGCATTTTAGAACTGTAAGCTACTAAATAATATTTTTGGCATTCTTCACACACATCATTCAAGACCATTTAATCTCTGTGTGTAATGTACATTTATGATTTAAAGCATTTCATATTTTTGGTGGGCAAACTGTAATTCAACAGCAACAGGAATTTGACTTCAGGATATTCACCTACCTAAAGCATCATCCTTTGATGATATTAGCATTTTTCTCCTTTTTATATGCAAACCACAAATAGTTCTCTTCAGGAATTTAAAAATACTGATCTACTTCAGCTTGGGTTAGGTGGCTGGGCTATTTGAGAACTTTATAGACAAAACAGTAGAAGGTGACAAAAATACATGACCATACCCTGAAGTTATGGCCAGCAGTGGCAATAGGGAGAGGCAGACTTCAGGTTGCCATTGATTCCACRTGTTTAAATGTTGTCCACTGTCCCTTTCTTGTCTTTTCTTTTCCCCCAAGGTTATGAGTATATTAATGAATAACAACACTGTTTGCACAAGGTGCTTTCCATAGCACAATCACATCAACTAAAGAGCTCTCATCACCCTCTAAGTAAGGAGTATTATTGGCATTTAGTATGGATTGAAGGAAGAATTCAAACAATCTTGTAACTTTAAGCACGAAGTTATTCATAAGCCCTCTTGTATCCAAGACCTTACTGACTATTCTTGATCACGATTTTTGTAATTGCATTTGTCCTTTATGGGCTGACTAACCATATGCTCTTGACAGCCCTACTTGAAAGCATAAACAGCCGCAGTTGTCACTACTGTAACTTTGGAGGATCTATACTGTGCCCTTTGTCCAACTTTGAGGCAGAGCACCACTAGGTATCCAAGCATTYGGAACCCAGTCAGAGGAAAATGAGACTGTGTCACAGGTTTTGTTTGTTGCTGGTTCCTAGAGTCTTCCCCAAAGAAGGAGAGTTATTTTCACATTTCTGTTGWACTGTTCATGATAAGTCCTCAACTAGGTTATCTTTAAATTCATTTCTCCTCTGGGATACGTGCTGTAATGTAGTTGCTAACATGACTTCTCTTAAAGGATGGACGTTTTTCAGTCAAAGTTCTCCCATAAACTGCAGTCTTCTATGCATGATGTTTTGGTGGTCCCCACTTAAGCCATCTGTTGGATTATTGGTGTGCCTGCCAACCTTTCCATCTGGGCTGGTGGTCTKCATGAATAACAGAATAAGCAAGATTTTTGCTGTGGGAAATTCTATTTCACATAGTTCTACACTGGTACTCCAGCACTTTACAGTTGATCACACCAGATGATGTTTCTGTGCCAAAAAACTAACCTACAGGTAATGAGTATTTTCATTTCCCCCATTCTTGTATTTTATTATATATATTTTTTGTATAACACTGAACAAGCAGACCTTCAAATCAAAAAGCAATTTGTATTTGATGAATCCAGTCTTCTGAAGAATAAAGGAAAACTATCTTATAGATCATAAATCTTCCCTTAGTGGAAGAATTTTCCCAACTGTGACATTTGTCAGAACAAGCTATACAGTGGATTTCTTAAATAAAAAAGCATTTCTGGAAAAAAAAAATCTTTGGCCAAGGAGTCCTCTGTTTTTCAATTTTGAGATTGCCTTTTGCCTCTGATATTACTGCATAAAAGTCACAGTGACGTGAGTACCTAGAGTGGACATTTGGCTTATTCAAGTGAAAATTATAGAAATAACAGCATGAATATTTCATAGTGATAAAGCGATCTGTTTGTCTGATGTGAAAACACTAGTGAGGGTGTTGATTTTAGAGTGATTTTAGATCCATACATATTGGGCAATAGCAGACGTGATTTTACTTCTCGAAGGACACAGCATCTCTTGTCCTTGCTAAGTGCACAGAAAGATATTGCTTTTAGTGCAAATCAGGTGAAACTAGCATGAAGTAGATTCTTTTCAAAAAAGGATRATGTTTGCATTGCAAATACATGAGCAAACTGAGATAACCAAAAAGGTGGAGGGAGTCTGAATGGTTTATAAAAATAAAGAGAACAAAGAAAAAGTTGCTGCATAAGCATTTGCTAATATTGAAGTTGAGGCTAGCTGAAAAAGTGTTACACCTTAGGGGTTATTTTCTTTGTATGGAAACATGTAATTTATTCAATGCCTTCATACTCAAAGCTCTTTGAGTTCAGATAGTGCTGTCTGCTAGTCATTTATTTTGTTCCACGTGACTTGCTTGCAGCCAAATGGGCTAGTCCAAAGAGTTTTTGCTTAGTCACTTCACAACAACTGCTTCATCTATTTCAGCCTCATGCCCTACATCGTATTGTAAAACAAAAAAATGCTCAAATGTAATCTATGGCAGACAATGGATAAATGGTCTTTTGCTTTTTTCTCTTGGCAGTGCATAGTACTATTAATTTAGTCAGACAGTGAATATAGCGTTGCCCTAGGCCAAATGCTACTGATGTTCTTGCAGTCTCAGTTTGCTCTGCTTTTGACTCATGACATCTGAAACAGGGAGGAAGGGAAGCAGGTTACTGTGTCGGGAGTGCACTACCTGATCCCATGAGCCTTCTTCCTTGAATTTGCAGTTTAGCACATTAGATGACTGCCTGGGTGCATGGTTGTTGTAATGGACTGGAAACAGCAGGAGATGCGAGTACTTGCAAGAACACATATGCTTGTGTATGCTCTGATGCCAGTCCTCCTTTGTGGAAAAAAAATAAATCCTGTGTGAAGACTTAGTTAATTATGTATCAGGGATATTTCAAGCCATGATTCATTTGACAATTTTAATCCGGCATTTCTTTATTTTTTTCCCCAGAATAAGCTACTTCCAAACCAGTTGTCTCTTTGACAACCTACTTTTTCTAGGGTATATTCCGAACAGCAAGAGAAATCTATTTGAGTGCTAATCACCCATTTGGGAAACTGCAAATTAGGTAATCATCAGTTAGAGGAGTTAAAAGGCCAAGGCAAAGCCAAGGGAAGTTAATGCCTAGGTTGCCAGTACCTAAATGACACGTTCAACTGAAAGGATCATTAATGCTATTGTAAGCCTATTTTAATTAATAAAAAATCTTAGAATYTACTTTTTTAATTCTGGGTACTGCTGGAGTGCTTTAGCTTTAGCAGCATACAAGCCAAGTTTTTCATTAGTTGCGCAATGAAAAGTTTACATTGCTTCATAAAACACCTAGATCAATATTAACAGTGTTCTTGGTACAGTAAAAATACATCCTTTCAATTTAAACAAACACTCCCAAGACCTTTTGTTATACCACACAGATTTTTTTTTCAATGTAATGGGATAGTTCATAAAGCACTGATGGCTACCTATTAGTATAGTAAATATGTTCTGTGTTTCTGTATTCACACTGGGGGCTCTCCAGATGCTTCAGCAACTAGATAAATAATTATTTTAGTCACCTTGGAATAAAACCTAACAGGTAGGTCACAGCACACAATAATACTATGTAACATCTTATGGCAGAAATTGCACAAAATATTTGAGGGAAATGTAATATATTTCTTCACTTTCACTAAAGTCAGTGTTTGGCCAAAACACCTTGAGGAAATAATTGCCAGGATCTTTTATTAAGTGTGGTCCAGGATTACTTTCTAATAGATACATTGAATCTACTGGCTGCATTTATATTGCAGCAATGTCTGAGATCCGAAAAGCAAAGCCTCCATCCAAACCTGAATTAGAGTGTCCCCCTTGTAAAAACATCCCTTTCATTCTGCTGTGGTTTTGAAGGTTTGTAGACAAAACTGACAAAGGAGCAGAGGAGTGAAGAAAGGAGGGGTACTACTCCCTTATTTTACTACAGGGAAACAGAGTCTGGAAGAAACAAAATGGACAGGATTTTGATTTTGTACGACCCACAGAGGAGAGATTGCTGTCGCTGTTGACAGTAACTATCATTGAAAGGAAGACTGGAAGCTATGAATAAAGTGTGTTAACGCACTGCTATGCAACCAATTGAATAGGTTAAAGAAGAATCCAGAAAGCTCAGTCTCAGGGAGAAAGCAGTTGAAAGTGCTGGAGGCAGTACAATCACAGTAATGGTTGTGGAGCTGCTTTGTTGTGAAGATTAAGTGGTCGATATTTATACAGCATTGGAAAGGGAAAATGTTAATTTTTTTTTAAGCTCAATGAGTGTTTTGCCTCATTAATGAAGGGTAGGAAAGGGCAACCTTGG